TGGTCCCTGGCGTGCAGTTTCTCGCGCAGGTGCATTCTGAAGTTAATTGTGTTTTGTGCCGCAGAGCATCTGTATCGAGCACTGGACACTCACGCTCTGTGTTTCTTGAGTTGCAGGCTGCCTGCCACAGCTAACAGAGCTAAATAACCTTCAGAATTGTGTTGAACCCAGACAGATGATCTATTTACCAAGAAAAGCGAATGTGCTTTACAGAACTTTATTAAAACTATGTTTGGTAGAAATAGGATGTTTATTTTGGTGTGGCGGCAATGATTCTGCCGTGGCGCAGTGCCACACTTAAATGAACGCAGAGGGAAACACTGATGCAGTTATTAATGAAGCCGGTGACTGATGTGGTAAACTCCTCAATGCCATCGGATGAATCCTGGAACATATTCCAGTCTGTGCTAGCAAAACGGTCCTGTAGCTTAGCATCCGCTTCATCGGACCATTGCCTGTTTTTTTAGAGTTTTCGCTTTTAAGCCGGAATCAGGGGTATACAGTTACTGTCAGATTTGCCAAATGGAGTGTGAGGGAGAGCTTTGTATGCATCTCTGTGTGTGTGGAGTAAAGGTGATCTGGAGTTTTAGTTGCACAGGTGACATGCTGGTAGAAATTAGGTAAAATGTATTTCAGTTTTCCAGCATTAAAATCACCGGCCACTAGGAGCGCCGCCTCTGGGTGTGCATTTTCTTGTTTGCTTATGGCCCCTTACAGCTTGTTGAGTGCTGTCTGTGGTGGTAAATAGACAGCTACGAAAAATATAGATGGAAACTCTTGGTAAATAGTATGGTCTACAGCTTATCATAAGTTATTCTAACTCAGCCGAGCAGAACCTTGAGACGTTCTTAATCTTAGAGATCGCGCACCAGCTGTTGTTAACAAAGAGACAAACACCCCCTCTGATCTTCCCCGATGCATCCATTCTGTCCTGATGTATAGAAACCAGATAGATTTGACCATGTCCTTGTTCAGCCACGACTCTGAGAAACATAGGATATTACAGTTCTGCAGACCACGTTAATTGGATAGTCATCCAGTTTATTCTCCAGTGATTGCACGTTCGCCAATAGATTGGAGGGTAGAGGCGATTTATCCACTCTCCAACGTCTGTTGCGGAGGCCACAGGTATGGCACAGTCTAAAGCGTGCTACTGAGATTGTAAATGGTTATTGTGAAAGAATAAGGGTGCAACACTAATACATTTATTATTTTATAACAATGTGCTTTCTCCCGCGATGGATAGCGGTCTCTGTCCCCGTTTCTGAAACATAATCTTCAGTGTGCCGTTGAATTGGCGCCTTTCCCTATATGCTGTAACTTGAATTAGGTTTGTGATCAATAGCCTAACTGTTAAACGTGCCTGGCTTTATAAATCATCCATGTATATCTACAGTAATAAGACAGATCCTGCTCCTGTTGCCAATTTGACTGTTTGTTTAATAGCCTACTGATTAGGGTTGGGCGGTATCCAGATTTATTTTTCGTCATACCGGCCTTCTCTCATCTTGGGATTTACAGTATTACTGGCTTAGTACACAAGGGTCAATAAAAATGGCAAGAAAAGCCCATTCGGTGTCTATCAGAATGCTAACAAAATTAGCGTAAGTAATAGTGAATTTCCACGGAGGCTGCTAGCTAAATATGCTAATGAGGTCAAACGAAAATAAACAAATTGTAAAGGTAGGCAATCCAACTCGTGAAGTTATACATGTGTAGGTAGGAGCTACCGAAATGTCATTTTTGGTGTATTTGGACATTTTTATAAGCGAATGTGAACGAGAGACATTGTGCAAATGAACAAAGTTTTGACGGATGCTTGTCTGAAGGAATAACAATACTGGCTCTGAAGCAGCATGTGGTCACGCTGTGCCTGTGTGGAGTCTGGAGTCGCAAGGGCAAAGGGCCGGCCTGCCTGCTCTGCTAGAAGAGGGGGGAGGAGCAGTCTGGCCGAGAACAGAGAGGAGGAAAAACGCAAGGAAATCAAGCAGTGGCAGCTGTACAGATAACTCATCCAAACAGCTCAGAAAGCCAACACTATATGATACCTGTCACATTATTAATTCAGCCACTTGCTTAGATAACGCGACCCTTAAGTTTAACTTGCTAGTTAACGCAGAATCCTTTGTTTCTTCACGCAGGAAAAAATTATAAAACGCATAAGAAATAACTTGCTGCGTTTTGGAAGCGCAGCTCTAAGATGCTTCTTGTAATTTCAGCTCGGCATCAGACTAATTTTGTGCTTCAGTTGCACATCTCCACTCTGATGCGAATTCACAAACGGCCATTCTATCAGCAGACAGACTCTGACTGAAGTGGAGCTACTTTTCTCTGGTACTTTTCTTGATGTAGCCAGCTTACTTTTCTCTGGTACTTTTCTTGATGTAGCCAGCCTACTTTTCTCTGGTACTTTTCTTGATGTAGCCAGCCTACTTTTCTCTGGTACTTTTCTTGATGTAGCCAGCCTACTTTTCTCTGGTACTTTTCTTGATGTAGCCAGCCTACTTTTCTCTGGTACTTTTCTTGATGTAGCCAGCCTACTTTTCTCTGGTACTTTTCTTGATGTAGCCAGCCTACTTTTCTCTGGTACTTTTCTTGATGTAGCCAGCCTACTTTTCTCTGGTACTTTTCTTGATGTAGCCAGCCTACTTTTCTCTGGTACTTTTCTTGATGTAGCCAGCCTACTTTTCTCTGGTACTTTTCTTGATGTAGCCAGCCTACTTTTCTCTGGTACTTTTCTTGATGTAGCCAGCCTACTTTTCTCTGGTACTTTTCTTGATGTAGCCAGCCTACTTTTCTCTGGTAAAATTTAAAGAAGACCTTTTAACCAAAATACTTTAGGGAATGTAGCTGGCTACATTCTTTCTATGATAAACATTAGAAATATGATGGCTATGCATCGTCTTTGCAAAATAATTATAAGCTCATTTACTTGTATGGCTAACTATATAGTGTTGCACTTCTGTTGTCATCTGCCGAATGTGTTGCACTAATGTATTTTCTGTGAAGGAAAACTATAGTTGCACGTCCCTGATCATTTTATTGAAGCAAAAACACTGACTTTCAATATAAAACGCTAGCCTCTACTCCCGCTTTGTGTCTTTGTGCTATTTGCAAACAAACACGTGACTGGCTCAACCGTTCTGGAGAACTACGGTAAGCTTCATAATGTCAAATAATGTGACAGGTGAAATTAAGAACACGATGCGTTTTATCTCCTAACGTGTTGCACAAGTTTACTGCATGTGTTCATACTGAACAAAAATATGAACACAACAATACCAAAGATTTTACTGATTTAGGCCCTAATCTATGGATTTCACATGACTGGGAATACAGATATGCATCTGTTGGTCACAGATACCGTTTGTGACACATCTCCTTTGCATGGAGTTGATTGTGGCCTGTGGAAGGTTGTCCCACTCCTCTTCAATGGCTGTGCGAAGTTGCTGGATATTGGCGGGAACTGGAACACGCTTTCGTACACGTTGATCCAAAGGATCCCAAACATGCTCAATGGGTGACATGTCTGGTGAGTGTGCAGGCAATGGAAGAACTGGAACCTTTTCGGCTTCCAGGAATTGTGTACAGATCCTTGCGACATGAGGCTGTGCATCATGCTGAAACATGAGGTGATGTGGGCAGATTAATGGCATGACAATGGGCCTCCAGGATCTCATTGCGGTATCTCTGTGCATTCAAATTGCCATCGATAAAATGCTATTGTGTTCGTTGTCCGTAGCTGATGCCTGCCCATACCATAACCCCACCGCCACCATGGGGCACTCTGTTCACAACGTTGACATCCGCAAACCACTTGCCCACACGACGCAATACACGTGGTCTGCGGTTGTGATGCTGGTTGGATGTACTGCCAAATTTTCTAAAACAACGGTAGAGAAATGAACATTAAATTCCCTGGCAACAGCTCTGGTGGACATTCCTGCAGTCAGTATGCCAATTGCACGCTCCCTCAACTTGAGACATCTGTGGCGTTGTGTGACAAAACTGCACATTTTAGAGTGGCCTTTTATTGTCCCCAGCTCAAGGCGCACCTGTGTAATGACCATGCTGTTTAATCAGCTTCTTGATATGCCACACCTGTCAGGTGGATGGATTATCTTGGCAAAGGAGAAATGCTCACTAACAGGGATGTAAACACATTTGAGAGAGAAGCTTTTTGTGCATATGGAACATTTCTGGAATCTTTTTATTTCAGCTCATGAAACATGGGACCAACACCTTTTACATGTTGCGTTTTTATATAGTTTTTCAGTATAGTGTATTTTATTTTATTTAAATACAAGTTAAAAAATGTAGACCAATCGTTTCGTCGACAGAACAGATTACTCTGTCGACCAATATCTTTTTGTTGGGGACAGCCCTAGTCAGGAGCCCGTAAAACGGCCGCCATTCCCTAAGGCGCCATTACATTATAACGCAACATTTTTAGTGACAACCATCAGTAGAGTTGAAAATGCGATGGAAACCCATTTAACTTGTCTTTTTTTTTATTCGGTACATGGGAATTGAACCGCAGAAGTTATTTATGTGCACTACGTCATCATGCACAAACCTTTATTGGCAACAAGTCAATTTGATGGAAACATCTCTGGTTGGAAAATGCGACTGTATTATTTATGCAGCTTTTAGAATATTCGCATTAAAATCTGTCGCCAAGAAAACCTAGCTACTGATACTTTTTTACACAGAAGATCATACAAAATTATTGCCTGAACTTCTCAATACCTTGCTGATGCATCTGTCAATTCAAACCATACTTCCTTCAGATTGAAATGCTGTCAAAAGTACTGTCAGACTGATTTTATAATAAACTAATAGGCCCAATTTAAAAACATTGGCCGTTTTGGGAACCCCTGCCCTAGTTACTGTTGCCTAGGGTGGGGTTTTCGATCCCAGGTCTGTCGGTGCCTCATTTTTCTTATTCTATTCAACTTTGTCATTCCTTTCTCTTTCTATTTACAGTTCTACCTGCCTCTATGTCGCTGGAAGCGCCCCCAGATCCACCTGCCACCATGTCGCTGGAAGCACCAGCACCAGACTTATCCCCAGAACTAGCTGCAGATTCAGCCCCAGAATTAGCCCCTGAGCTAACACCAGATACAGCCCCAGACCTAGCTGCAGATTCAGCCCCAGAATTAGCCCCTGAGCTAACACCAGATACAGCCCCAGACCTAGCTGCAGATTCAGCCCCAGTCCCAGTAATGAACCCAGGGTGTAAGATCATGACCTTCCGGCCCACCATGGAGGAATTCAAGGACTTTGCCAAATACGTTGCCTACATGGAGACTCAAGGAGCACACCGTGCAGGCCTGGCAAAGGTACACACACATCATGACAGTTTAGTTTATATTGCCTAACACTAATAATTCAGCAATGTATTGTTATTGCCTCTCCATCTCACTTGGCCTAGGTTGTCTCTCTCTTTTTACCTTTGTCCTCTTTTACTTTCACATCCTCACTCACTCACTCACTCACTCACTCACTCACTCACTCACTCACTCACTCACTTTAACTTTCTCTCCCTTCCTCCTGCCCTTCTTGCAGGTGATTCCCCCTAAGGGCTGGAAGCCGCGGCAGTCATACGATGTCATCGAGGAGATGACGATCCCTGCTCCCATCATGCAGGTGGTGACTGGCCAGTCAGGCCTCTTTACCCAGTACAACATCCAGAAGAAGTCCATGACCGTTGGGGAGTACCGCCAACTGGCCAACAGCAGAAAGTAGGGCCTCGCATCACCGAGCTACCAGACATTCTACACCCATTGAGACCCAGTCAAAATAATGCAGAAGATAGATTAATGTTATGATCAGAGACAGGGTTTTTTCATAGTGGAAACTAAAGAATAATGTATTCTCCCAGTTTTTTTTTTTTATACAAATGGTTTCTTTCCCAATCACAGAGTTGAGACCATTACAAATTACGCACAGTACGAATGTGAAACTTTGATTTATCACTTTCCATCGAAATTATTGGGTTGCCTTTGTTAGTGCCTGTTTCACTGCCTTTACCGTTTAGTATCTGTCTAGTGAACTATAGACCTCTCTACTCTCCCCTCCACTCCCAGGTACTGTACCCCCCGACACAAGGACTTTGACGACCTGGAGAGGAAGTACTGGAAGAATCTCACCTTCGTGTCTCCAATCTACGGTGCTGACGTCAGCGGCTCCATCTATGACTCAGTAAGTCAGCCCAGGAACAGCCTTGCTAATTACACACATGGGTTGTGAACATTAGTAGTGACATGTTTTGCAGCAGAAAACGTAAACAAGCGTTTCTTCTGGGACAAGTTCAGATAGTGCTACCTCCCTGTTACTGTTTTCTTCCGTTTCGTACCTTCTGAACATGACCCTGGCTTCACTATACAGTGCATTCGGAAAGTATTCAGACCCCTTGACTTTTTCCACGTTTTCCTACGTTAGTCTTATTCTAAAATTGATTAAATTGTCGTCCCCCGCCCCCCCCCCATCAATCTACATGCAATACCCCGTAATGACGAAGCAAAAACATTTTTTTTGGAAATGTTTGCAAAAAAAAAAAAAAAAAGACAAATGAAATATCACATTTACATAAGTAAATGACCCTTTTACTTAGTTGAAGCACCTTTGGCAGCGATTACAGCCTTGAGTCTTCTTGGGTATGACGCTACAAGCTTGGCACTCCTATATTTGGGGAGTTTCTCCCATTCTTCTCTACAGATCCTCTCAAGCTCTTGTCAGGTTGGATGGGGTGCGTCGCTGCACAGCTATTTTCAGGTCTCTCCAGAGATGTTCGATCAGGTTCAAGTCCGCGCTCTGGCTGGGCCACCCAAAGACATTCAAAGACTTGTCCCGACGCCACTCCTGCGTTGTCTTGGCTGTGTGCTTAGGGTTGTTGTCCTGTTGGAAGGTGAACCTTCGCCCCAGTCTGAGGTCCTGAGCGCTCTGGAGCAGGTTTTCATCAAGAATCTCTCTGTACTTTGCACCGTTCATCTTTCCCTCAATCCTGACTAGTCTTCCAGTCCCTGCCACTGAAAAACATCCCCACAGCATAATGCTGCAACCACCATGCTTCACCGTAGGGATGGTGCCAGGTTTCCTCCAGACGTGACGCTTGGCATTAATGCCAAAGAGTTCAATCTTTGTTTCATCAGACCAGATAATCTTTTCTCATGGTCTGAGAGTCCTTTAGGTGCCTTTTGGCAAACTCCATGCGGGCTGTCATGTGTCTTTTTACTGAGGTCTGGCTTCCGTCTGGCCACTCTACCTTAAAGGCCTAATTGGTAGAGTGCTGCAGAGATGGTTGTCCTTCTGGAAGGTTCTCCCATCTCCACAGAGGAACACTGGAGCTCTGTCAGTGACCATCGGGTTCTTGGTCACCTCCCTGACAAAGGCCCTTCTCCCCCAATTGCTCAGTTTGGTCGGGCGGCCAGCTCTAGGAAGAGTCTTGGTGGTTCCAAACTTCTTCCATTTAAGAATGATGGAGGCCACTGTGTTCTTGGGGACCTTCAATGCTGTAAAAAAATGTTGGTACCCTTCCCCAGATCTGTGCCTCGACACAATCCTTTCTCTGAGCTTTACGGACAATTCCTTTGACCTCATGGCTCGGTTTTTGCTCTGAAATGCACTGTCAACTGTGGGACCTTATATAGACAGGTGTGTGGCTTTCCAAATCATGTCCAATCAATTGAATTTACCACAGTTGTACTCCAATCAAGTTGTAGAAACATCTCAAGGACAATCAATGGAAACAGGATGCACCTAAGCTGAATTTCGAGTCTCATAGCAAAGTGTCTGAATACTTATGTAAATAACATATTTCTGTTTTGTTAATTCTAAAAACCTGTTATCGCTTTGTCATTATGGGGTATTTTGTGTAGATTGATGGCATTTTTTTATTGAATCCATTTTAGAATATGGCTGTAACGTAACCAAATTTGAGGAAGGGGTCTGAATACTTTCTGAATGCACTGTAGTTACAAATTGTGTGGAATTCCTTAGTACTAAGTACCCGACAGTAACACTTGTTGATACGTTTTGTGGTCCTCTGTAGCTCAATTGGTAGAGCATGGTGCTTGTAACGCCAGGGTAGTGGGTTCGATCCCCGGGACCACCCATACGTAAAAATGTATGCACACATGACTGTAAGTCGCTTTGGATAAAAGCGTCTGCTAAATGGCATATTATTATATTATATTATTATATTATACGTTTTAACAAAAAATACTAGCTGAAATATGTCTATGTTGTGTGGCCTTGATGCCATCTGGTGGTGAACATGTATTACTACATGGCCTTGAACAGCAATGGCAATCTTAGTCCTCCATAGTAATATAGCTACGTTATTCACTGGTATAAGACTAGCTGAAGTACAATTGTGACAAACAAACAGTGCAACTCCATGTCTATAGGCCTGGCTATGTTCATTCAATTTAATTGGTAAATGTAGCCAATATGCTTTAATTGGGTCACAGTGTTCACCTCCCTCTGTCTGTGTGTTTCCAGGAGATCAGTGAGTGGAACATCGGCCACCTGAACACGCTGCTAGATATGGTGGAGCAGGAGTGTGGCATTGTGATCGAGGGAGTGAACACACCCTACCTGTACTTTGGCATGTGGAAGACCACCTTTGCCTGGCACACCGAGGACATGGACCTCTACAGCATCAACTACCTGCACTTTGGAGAGCCCAAGTCCTGGTCAGTGGCTAGATTTAGTATTTTTAGTTATTTGTGTGTCTCCTCTCTCTCTTTCTCTCTCTGCCTCTCTCTGCCTCTGTCTCTCTCTGCCTCTCTGTCTGTCTCTGCCTCTCTGCCTCTCTGCCTCTCTCTGCCTCTCTCTCTCTCTCTCTCTCTCTCTCTGCCTCTCTCTCTCTCTGCCTCTGTCTCTCTCTGCCTCTGTCTCTCTCTCTCTCTCTCTCTCTCTCTCTCTCTCTCTCTCTCTCTCTCTCTCTCTCTCTGCCTCTCTCTCTCTCTGCCTCTGTCTCTCTCTGCCTCTGTCTCTCTCTCTCTCTCTCTCTCTGCCTCTCTCTGCCTCTCTCTGTCTCTGCCTCTCTGTCTCTCTCTGCCTCTGTCTCTCTCTGCCTCTGTCTCTCTCTGTCTCTCTTTCTCTCTGCCTCTCTCTCTCTCTGCATCTCTGCTCGCTTAGAAATATTCCTCAAATTACTTAATTTGTCATTTGGCACTTATTTTTGATATATTGGGGGATTTCCAACACATTCTTCGTGGTTCTCTCTATTTTATGTGACAGCTCTTTGCTTCAATTGCATCTACATTTTAAAAAATGGCAAGCCGAAATCTTGATTTCAGGATCTGATTTCAGGATCTGGACAGGCTTTGGCAGTGGCTTCTCTAGCATCTATCATTCTTCTACATGTGTAAAGCTGAAAGTGAGTTCCTGTTTTTGAGTTAAGGAGACTGTCCATGTACTTCTGTAGTTAAACAGGTGGCCACTGGAGGACAGTCTAGACCAATTGTCACTCTTTCTTAGTCAAAATGCAAGCCGAGATGTACCACTCAGACCAGTTAGAAATTATATTTAAAAAATGTAGGTATATGATCACACTGGTAATAGATAATGTGTTGTATTACTTTTGAGGCATAGTTGAGTAAGCATAATCATTACATTTTTTTACTGGACTGATGGCCTGCATGTGATGGTCAGTCTAAGGGAGGGAGCAGCGGTGAGGCTGCCTCTCTCTCTGCCTCTCTCTCTGCCTCTCTCTCTGCCTCTCTCTCTCTCTCTCTCTCTCTCTCTCTGCCTCTCTCTCTCTCTCTCTGCCTCTCTCTCTCTCTGCCTCTCTCTCTCTGCCTCTCTCTCTCTCTCTCTCTCTCTGCCTCTCTCTCTCTCTCTCTGCCTCTCTCTCTCTCTCTCTGCCTCTCTCTCTCTGCCTCTCTCTCTCTCTCTCTCTGCCTCTCTCTCTCTCTCTCTCTGCCTCTCTCTCTCTCTCTCTGCCTCTCTCTCTCTCTCTCTGCCTCTCTCTCTCTCTCTCTGCCTCTCTCTCTGCCTCGTTGAGGCTGCCTCTCACCTGACTCACCGTCCCTCCACTCTCCCTCCCTCCGCTGAGAAAAGGGAACACATCCGCCAGCTGATGGTGAAAGTTGCGCTGCATTATTTCTGCCTCATGCACAAATTCATGTTGTTACTCCTATGCCCAGAGAAAGTGAAAAATTCCTTTTATATATATTTTTTAAAGACACAAGCCGCTAATAATAACAACGCAAGCTTATCGGAACACTTTGCTATAGTCATTCATTGCAGCTGCAGTGCTGGTTGTAGCATGAGTGGAAGTAGGGAGAACGCACCTTTTTTAATGGCTTAGAAAAGCGTTGAACAAAGTGTTGACAGTGCTGAATAACAACTTATACATGAACTTACTCATGAAAACAGCAGCTCTTTGCTGTATTCGTTGAGTCTCTAGTCATGGTTTTAAACGTTTTGAAATCTTACAGTATCAACTTTGCTGTGTGTTGTGAGTCTTCTTTTTACAGCCTATGGCTCGAGGAAACTGTGTAGACACAGTGATCTGAACTATGTGATTGGCCAGCGGTAGGCCTATAGGTGCACTTGATTTGCTCTCTGTCCCTGCCGGGTATGCGCTGTTCTACCTTCAGACACATGAAATGGTTCAAAATGGGAGGACTTTGCCTTCCCGCTCGCTGCTAGGGCTGCTGAATCAAGTGCAGCTATGACCAACAGCAAAATAAAGAAATACAGAAGCAACACAAGGCTTTATCGTTGTTGTTTTTTACAGAAATGTTTGGTGATCGACTAGGAATGCCTTGGAGATCGACCAGTCGATCGCAATCGACCGGTTGGAGATGGCTTCTGTAGTGCAAAGCATCTTCAATATGAGCATCATATTGACTGGAATTTGGCACTGTTTGTGTGTCATTGACTGTGTTTGCGTGAATATAGGTCTATATATAAGTGTATGTTACGGCTGCACAATAATCAAATTCACATCCAAATTGCAATATTGATATGTGCAATATCCGTATCGCAAGAGATGGATATCGCGTGTAAAGTCAATTTGAAATTGTACCCTGTTTGTCGTCTCTCTCCCCCTCTCCTCTTGCAGCTGCTTCCCACACAAACACACACACACACACACACAAACACACACACACACAAAGCCCGCCCCCTGTGTGTATTTTTCTGTGAATATGAGTGTCTGTGTCCTACAAGTAATTAAATAGTCCAGGGCCAACCATCCCATCACTCGTCGCTAGATGGCAGTAGCGCTCTTCCGACACCTCTCTCTCTCTCTCTCTCTCTCTCTCTCTCTCTCTCTCTCTCTCCCCCATCGTTTTCTTATTCCTCTTGTAATACGACCCCCCTCGTCGAGGCGCGCTATTCCCAAAGGCTTCACTCGGCATCCAATTCTATTTCCTAACGTTTATGGCTCTCCCAACACTGAGTCACATAAAGAGCCTCTATTTGCTGACACGTCTCCATCACTTTCGCCAACCATTTCACTTCGAAGCGAGTGGGAAAACCAGCATTGCTGCATAGACCCTGTAGTATCACACACTGAAGGGGTTCCTTCCAAATGGCACCCTATTTCCTATATAGTGCACTACTTTAGACAAGAGCCCTTTGGGCCCTAAATAGGGAACAGGGTGCCATTTGGGACGTAGCCTCAGACTAACAGCCACTCCCGGCTAAGTGAGTCGCACGGCGGCAAGGTAATGGCGGTAGATAAGGGTATCGACAGAACGCTAATGGAGGGCGACACTTCGTCAAAGTACCGGTAACGGCGGTGACCTCACCGGGCGACCTTAGTAGCGGTCAGCTAGTATAGGCGTCTGGCGCAGTGCCCGTCATCTTTAAGCTGTGTCTGCGAGGTGAGAGTGTGTGTGTGTCTCTCTCTCCATGGTCTTGCTGGGTGACTAATACCCACTCCGCCATCAGAGAAGGATCGATCTCCTCTTCCCTTGTTATTTTAACCTTTCATACCTTTATCGTAGTCCTACTTTCTTGCTGGGGATGGCTTGACTGCAGCCTAGCTGGGTTATGTTTTTGACCATAGAATCACAACTCTCCAGGAACAGGGTTGGTGATCCCTGGTGTAAACCTACAGGAGGCTAGCTCTCCAGGAACAGGGTTGATGATCCCTGGTGTAAACCTACAGGAGGCTAGCTCTCCAGGAACAGGATTGGAGAGCCCTGGTGTAAACCTACAGGAGGCTAGTTCTCCAGGAACAGGGTTGGAGAGCCCTGGTGTAAACCTACAGGAGGCTAGCTCTCCAGGAACAGGGTTGCAGAGCCATGGTGTAAACCTACAGGAGGGTAGCTTCTAAAATACATTCTTGTCTTGTTTTCATGGTGGAATGAGAGAGGTTTAGAGGGAGGTTTTCATGGTGGAATGAGAAAGAGGGGCTCTGAACTGAGCCAGGCCTCCCTTGCTGTGACAGCGCTCATTACTGCACAGGCAGGCTTTTCTGTTTCTCGCACTCTGTCCCCCTCTTACTCTCTCCCTTGGAGGTCCCCTGCGCCATGTCTGTTCAGCTTGGAGGGAAGGATTCTATTTTTCTTTATTTTCTTCCTCTCATTTAGTCTCTCTCCCCTCCTGGGTTTTTTAAGCCTCTCGCTCAGTGTGTGGCCTATGGGACCTGCACAGACTGTACCTATCAATACCAGCATCACTGTGTGAGCATTGCGTGTGTGTGAGCATTGCGTGTGTGTGAGCGCTCTGTCAAGAGCCATGTTCCAATAGCCATCACTAATGCTCTATCAAGAGCCATGTTCCATTAGCCATCACTCTAATGGTCTATAAAGAGCCATGTTCCATTAGCCATCACTATAACGCTCCATCAAGAGCCATGTTCCAATAGCCATCACTAACGCTCTGTCAAGAGCCATGTTCCATTAGCCATCACTCTAATGGTCTATAAAGAGCCATGTTCCATTAGCCATCACTCTAACGCTCCATCGAGAGCCATGTTCCATTAGCCATCACTCTAATGGTCTATAAAGAGCCATGTTCCATTAGCCATCACTAATGCTCTATCAAGAGCCATGTTCCATTAGCCATCACTAACGCTCTGTCAAGAGCCATGTTCCATTAGCCATCACTAATGCTCTATCAAGAGCCATGTTCCATTAGCCATCACTCTAATGGTTTATCAAGAGCCATGTTCCATTAGCCATCACTCTAATGGTTTATCAAGAGCCATGTTCCATTAGCCATCACTCTACTGCTCTATAAAGAGCCATGTTCCATTAGCCATCACTCTACTGCTCTATAAAGAGCCATGTTCCATTAGCCATCATTCTACCGCTCTATGAAGAGCCATGTTCCATTAGCCATCACTCTACTGCTCTATGAAGAGCCATGTTCCATTAGCCATCACTCTACTGCTCTATAAAGAGCCATGTTCCATTAGCCATCATTCTACCGCTCTATGAAGAGCCAAGTTCCATTAGCCACCACTCTACCGCTTTATCAAGAGCCAAGTTCCATTAGCCATCACTCTACCGCTCTATCAAGAGCCAAGTTCCATTAGCCATCACTCTACCGCTCTATCAAGAGCCAAGTTCCATTAGCTATCACTCTACCGCTCTATCAAGAGCCAAGTTACATTAGCCATTACTCTACCGCTCTATCAAGAGCCATATTCCATTAGCCATCAATCTACTGCTCCATCTAAAATATCTATCTTTTTGGTTTACAGGCTGTCTTCTTCTTTTAGAAATCTGTCTTAATTTTTAGAATCTAGCCTTTCAAAAGCCCTTATGCCTGGGCACTTAAACAGAGAGGTGGCATCCCAAAGTGCACCCTATTCCCTATTCAGTGATCTACCTTTGACCTGAGTTGTGGTCTAAAGTACTGCACTACCTAGGAAATACGTTGTGATTTGGGACGAAGTCACAGCCTCTCCATAGTATAATGGAGTAGGGTTGTCATGCTTCAGTAGCATCCTTCTTGATCCAGAAGTCTCAAGTCTCCCCTCCAAGCAACCCTCTCAAGATATCTTCCCTCCCCTATTCTCCTCCTCCCTTCCCCCACCCTCTCCCTCTTCTTACATATGCCCCTGTGAGGAAAAGCAATCTTTCCTTGTCACTCGTTAAAAGTACATTTACTCAGATGGATGCACCCCTCAACTCTGTTTAACTGTGAATGTGTGTGTAGTGGGGGGAACAATCAAACAGTGTACACACACACACTTTTCTTCCCCTTCTTTTTTTAGGAAATTGAATCATTTTCACTTTTCGGGTAATTACAGTATGTTAAACTGTGTGCAAGGAGAGGTTTGCCTAACCCCCCTGTGCAGCAACTGTGAAATTAACTCCATTCCCCTCCAACTCTGCTCCCATCTGTCATACCCCCCCCCCCCCCCCAATAATCTGCTGTCAGATGTTGTAAAGATCACCAGGCGGTTTGCGGAGAGTAAGAGAAACTGCTAAAAATGACAATCTTAGGGTTGCATTGACTCCATTTACGCAGAGAGAGAGCCCATTATTATTTGTGTAGTTTTATCGGGTATTAGATGACGCTTGCTGTTTTTGTGTCTCTTCCGGGAGGAAAGAGATGAGTGTTCACTTTAGCGACGTCAGTGCCACAGTATTGTTGCATTGGAAGTGTTTTATGAATGAAGACAATTGGCAATAGTTCTAATTGCCTAATCAATTATATTGAGGTCAATGGATGTTTTCCATCTTGCTGCGTTGACCGTCATCCAGATTCATGCTGATTCCTCCCTACCTTCAGGCTATGCTCAAACCCTACACCCCAACCCATCTCTGATCTCTTGGCCTTCCCACCCTTATGGGAAGGCAGCTCCAGCTCAGCCCAGTCCAAGCTCTTCTCTGTCCTGGCACCCAAATGGTGGAACCAGCTTCCCCCTGAAGCTAGGACAGCAGAGTCCCTGCCCATCTTCCGAAAATTTTGAAACCCTACCTCTTCAAAGATAATCTTAAATAAACCCACAGCACCCCCCTCGCACACCCTCAGAGTGAACTAACACTCACACTTGAAATTTACCATATCATCAAAATAGTTTAACCTGGATTGTTTTGCAATAATCACTGATCTGGCTTTCAAAAAATACCTTATTTACATAAGTATTCAGACCCTTTGCAATGAGACTCGAAATTGAGCTCCAATGCATCCTGTTTCCATTGATCATCCTTGAGATGTTTCTTAAACTTGATTGGAGTCCACCTGTGGTAAATTCAATTGGTTGGACATGATTTGGAAAGGCATACCAGTCTATATAAGGTCCCAAAGTTGAAAGTGCATGTCAAAGCAAAAACCAAAAACTGTCTGCAGCATTGAAGGTCCCCAAGAACACAGTGGCCTCCATCATTCTTAAATGGAAGAAGTTTAAACCACCAAGACACCTTCCTATAGCTGGCTGCCCGTCCAAACTGAGCAATCGTGGGAGAAGGGCCTTTGTCAGGGAGGTGACCAAGATCCTGACGTTCACTCTGACAGAGCTGCAGAGTTCCTCTGTGGAGATGGGAGAACCTTCCAGATGGACAACCATCTCAGCAGTACTCCACCAATTAGGCCTTTATGGTAGAGTGGCCAGACGGAAGCCACTCCTCAGTAAACGGCACATGACAGTCAGCTTGGAGTTTGCAAAAAGGCACCTAAAGACTCTGACCATGTGAAACAAGATTCTCTGGTCTGATGAAACCAAGATTGAACTCTTTGGCCTGAATGCCAAGCGTCACGTCTGGAGGAAACCTGGCACTATCCCTACGGTGAAGCATGGTGGTGGTGGCATCATGCTGTGGGGATGTTTTTCAGCGGCAGGGACTGGGAGACTAGTCAGGATCGAGGGAAAGATGAACAGACCACTCAGGACCTCAGACTGGGGCAAAGGTTCACCTTCCAACAGGACAACGACCATAAGCACACAGCCAAGACAACGCAGGAGTGGCATCGGGACAAGTCTCAATGTCTGAGTGGCCCAGCCAGAGTCCGGACTTGAGCCCGATCTAACATCTCTGGAGAGACCTGAAATAGCTGTGCAGCAACGCTCCCCATCCAACTTGACAGAGCTTGAGAGGATCTTCAGTGAAGAATGGGAAAACTCCCCAAATACAGGTGTGCCAAGCTTTTAGCGTCATACCAAACAAGACTCGAGGATGTAATCGCTGCCAAAGGTTCTTTAACAAAGTACTGAGTGAAGGGTCTGAATACTTATGTAAATGTTATTTCAGTTTTTTTTATAATTTTGCAAGAAATTCTCAGCCTGTTTTTGCTTTGTCATTATGGGGTATTTACATCATTTAGCAGACGCTCTTATCCAGAGCGAGTTACAAATTGGTATTGTCTCTAGGTAGATTGGGGGGGGGGTTGGATTAAATCAATTTTAGAATAAGGCTGTCACGTAACAAATTGTTGATCAAGTCAAGGTGTTTGAATACTTTCCGAATGCCCTGTGCAAACTAATGGGGCGAACTCTGTGAAGTTCAATCCCTTGGGTCTGCACGGCCTGGCATTTGTTCTGTGCGGCAGTCCTGGAGGAGGTGCGTGGCTGCGCACGCTATCGTCAGAAAGGTTAAGTTCTCGTCTATTACAGTAAAATAATGTCTTAAGTGTTTCAGTGTCCATATGACTGATTCTGTTGGACCAAACCTCAAATACAAATAGTGAGTTTAAAAAATGTAAGTCGCTCTGGATAAGAGCGTCTGCTAAATGACTAAAATGTAAATGTAACTGCTTGTTGTCAGGGGAAGTTCTCATTCGTGTTGTTTTGAGTGGCAGAGGGAGGGGTTTGGTGCCTGTGTGTGAAGGTGCACAATACACACAGCACAGAATGAGTGAAGGAGACGAGACCAAAAAGACAGCACGCTCCTAACAACGGGGGGAAAAAAATACAAAAATAACTTGATTTTTGCGATGCAATCATTTGGAACATTGTGCTAAAACATACAGTCCCAGTCAAAAGTTTGGACACATCTACTCATTCAAGGGTTTTTTCTTTATTTTTACTATTTTCTACAATGTAGAATAATAGTGAAGACATGGAATCATGTAGTAACCAAAGAAGTGTTAATCTCTATGGGATCGGTGTCCCGTATACGGGACGTTTGAGCTACCGTGCGCTAATGTGATTAGCATGACTGTTTGTAAGTAACAGCAACCTTTCTAGGACATAGACATGTCTTGTATGGGCAGAACGCTTACATTCGTGTTAATCTAACTGCACTGTCCAATTTACAGTAGCTATTACAGTGAAAAAATACCATGCTATTGTTTGAGGAGAGTGCACAACAACAAAAAACGTATCATGGCAACTGGTTTGATACATTCACCTCTGAAGGTAAATAATGTACTTACATTCAGTCATCTTGCTCTGATTTGTCATCCTAAGGGTCCCAGAGATCAAATGTAGCATAGTTTTGTTTGATAAAATAATTTTTTATATTCAAATGTAGGAACTGGGTTCTACAGTTTGAACCCCTGGTGTCTCTGGCTCCACACCCACCCCGCCCGGCCATCTAGATGTGTGAAAGTTAGTGTATAAGCTAATTAACAGGTGTGCATTGTTAAAAGTGAATTTGTGGAATTTCTTTCCTTATTAATGCGTTTGGCCAATCAGTTGTGTTGTGATAATGTAGGGTTGGTATACAGAAGATAGCCCTATTTGGTAAAAGATCAAGTCCATATTATGGCAAGAACAGCTCAAATAAGCAAAGAGAAACGACAGTCCATCATTACTTTCAAGAACTTTGAACGTTTCTTCAAGTGCAGTCGCAAAAACCATCAAGCGCTATGATGAAACTGGCTTTCATGAGGACCGCCACAGGAAAGGAAGACCCAGAGTTACCTCTGCTGCGGAGGATAAGTTCATTAGAGTTACCAGTCTCAGAAATTGCAGCCCAAATAAATGCTTCAGAGTTCAAGTAACAGACACAGCTCAACATCAACTGTTCAGAGGAGACTGCGTGAATCAGGCCTTCATAGTCTAATTGCTGCAAAGAAAGCACTACTAAAGGACACCAATAAGAAGAAGAGACTTGCTTGTAATATTGATCCTCATATGTCTGATCGAAAATGGGCTAAATCATGAAATGTCCAGTGCCCAAATGACTTTACTTGTGCAGGCGAGGAAAATCATTGTGCTTCTTCACACGAAGGTGACATACATTTTATATACACACACACACACACACACACACACAACCCGTCAAAAGTTTTAGGACACCTACTCATTCAAGGGTTTTTCTTCATTTTCACTATTTTCTACATTGTAGAAAAATAGTGAAGATGTCAAAACTGAAATATCACATATGGGATCATGTAGTAACCAAAAAAGTGTTAAACAAATCAAAATATATTTTATATATTTGAGATTCTTCAAATAGCCACTCTTTGCCTTGATGACAGCTTTGCACACTCTTGGCATTCTCTCAACCAGCTTCACCTGGAATGCTTTTCCAACAGTCTTGAAGGAGTTCCCACATATGCTGAGCACTTGTTGGCTGCTTTTCCTTCACTCTGCGGTCCAACTCATCCCAAACCACCCCAATTTGATTGAGGTCGGAGGATTGTGGCGGCCAGGTCATCTGATGCAGCACTCCGTCACTCTCCTTCTTGTTAAAATAGCCCTTACACAGCCTGGAAATGTGTTGGGTCATTGTCCTGTTGAAAAGCAAACGATAGTCCCACTAAGACTAAACCAGATGGGATGGCGTATCGCTGCATAATGCTGTGGTAGCCATGCTGGTTAAATGT